AAAGCTCTCAATTAATCAAGCCGTAATCAATGGCATAATTAACCAAGTCGCCAAGTTAACAAATAATTACACCGATAAGTAAATAGTTAAATTGGCACTATCTTTATTCTACCTTCTACCTTATTTATTAGTTACCTTTACACATTTACCCATGATTATTACCTTTTATTCGTTACTAAAATGTATTTTACTTTACCTTGCCGAGGCCTATTGGACAAAGACTCATAAATAACAACATTTAGATAAAATTTAGAACTAAGTTCAACTAACCTCAGAGAGTTTTGACTCTGACATTTTCAAATGTATTCATTTTTGCAACAATTAAATATCTTCCTACATTTGAAGCTATTTTGGTATTAACATCATTAATTACAAATATATTTTTTAAAACGTTTTTGGCAAATATTCTCAAAATATAAGAGGATGTTTCAAAATCATGAGTTATTATAAGATGTAAATGGTTTGTGTTAACATGCTAGATGTTTGAAGTGAGCAATTCTATGTGACTAAGCACACATTATTTTCAATTCATGAATTTATATAAGAATCTTGAATATAATAAAATAATTGCACACTATGATTAAATGCAAAACTACTTTGTTCGGAAGAGACTATCCAAATAGTATAAATTTCTCGCAAGACAAATACATCTTTATAATTTTGGAAAGAATGATGGCATGAATGTTTGTAACTGATCATCATTATTTTATTTTATATACATGCAGAAAAGTAGATTGTTATTAACTATTACAATTGTAATCAACAAATTAGTATGTTTGTTCTTTCTTGAATCAGGTCTACGATACCTACCTTCAGTTCATCATTTTCTCTAATTGATTTGTATTCGCATGCAACCCAAACTTTTAAGCGAGTAGTCTTACTCTATTAAGATTGTGTACATCTAATAAAATCTAGTTATTAATTTGTATAATTTATATTTTTTGTTATAAATTTTCAATCTGTTGTAATTAGTCTACGCCACAAAAAAATGTTCAATTTTGTTTAGTTTTCTAGAGGTAAAGATCTTTTTATAGAAAATTGAATAATAAAATCAAGTTATCAGATTTGCTATTTTCTTGCATTGGTAACAATAATGTTTGTTTGAAATATTTTTTTTGTTATTTAAATTTACATTATTTGATTCTTTGAAGAAAATATTGCTTTGTTTCGCTTTATACACAAATATTATCAAATTTTTTCTTTAAAATTTTTTTCATATTAAACATGATTCATGAACTTTTTTTTGAAATTAATAGTTTGTATCAATTTCATGACATTGTATATTGAATTATATAAAATTGAGAATATATATTTATTTTGTATAAATTAATCAAATGTTCTCAATGAAATAATAATATATTGACTTAATGTTAGTATTCTCATATGTTTGTGTGTACAATATATGTTTGAAACATACTCACTTGAAAGAATGGAAAACATATTATATAGAATATAAGGTTATTGTACAAATTAGAGAACAATGATGATTACATAATTCACAAAACTATATATATATTAAAATTAAGGATTTTTATTCAAGGAATTTTTTGCGGAAATAATGATAAATTTAAATAGATTTATATACATATATTATAAAATTATAATACCAAATAAAATTGAATCACTACATATGTTATTCGAGACTTATGTCGTTTGTTTTTATAATGATGCATACTTGATCAACTTGCTTAATCAAAGACGGGTCTTGTACCAATTCAATATATATATATATATCTCATATATTAATAGATTAATCAAATCTTTGCGCTTTGGGCAATGATGCAGTTAGTGAAGTGAAACCCAGATGCTTCAATTGCTGGTTGAAAACTTTTTCCAATAAATTCAATGATTATTTAAAAAAATTCAAAATACCTCACACTATGATTATTTCAAAAGTAGCAAAATCTCTCATATATATTAAAGTCCAATAGACATTTCAAAATACTCACATCTACTTGTACCATTCCTTTAAATTACACAGAATGCAATCCTAATGAGAGCCTTCACTTCGGTTGGATATAAATCTCCATAAATTGGATTTGATATGCATTTCATGTATTTCACGAATTAATATAAACTTAGAAGATTGTTGGTGTCAATGGAAGCCATAATATATCAAACTTCAGTAAAAAAGTCCTGCAAGTTATAATTTAAAACTTGCAAATTAGGCGCATTATCCATTTATGTATTGAATGTATTTGTTACTTGTATTAGTTTAATTTAGATCCAGAAGATTGGATCGGTTACTGAACCCTTGAACTATAAGAGAGTTGACCTATGAGAGAGATGAACGGAATCCTTTTTGAAATTTCATCATCATCTGCTATCGCACAGACATCTTTTGCTTATTCACCGACGGTGACTATCTAGATCTAGTCAAAAGTGTTATTCACTACAACAATGACAGAGTGAAAGTAAAATTCTAAAGTTCATTAGAAACGTATGGAATGTGATCACAACAGAATAGAGTGTCGAACACATATTAGTACACGATCCTGAAACACACCACATATTTTTTACTTTACTTCTTCTCATCTATGTGTGGAATCCTTGCACACTTACATTGAACTGATATTTAGTTCCACATATTTACATCCACATTTACGGGAGACCATACGAGTATAATAGAATAAAGAGGCTGATGTAACAAAGGTGAAATCGAATTGGGGTCAAACTTGGAACTGCAGGTCCAGAATTTCCGAAACAAAACGCGGGTGTAGCGGTGGCATACCATCCATGAGATAATATCTGCGTATGTTCGTCTTTTGTGAGCCATGTTGGCAGGACGCGAGGAGAGAGGAGGGTAGCAATACACAGAGAATACACATGATCGATATAACATACCCAAACTTTGATTGTATATGTCAAGTTTTTTTTATCACGATGACTGCTATATGACTGCGATTAGATTTTGTTGAACCTCTGATATATTTTATAGTCAAGATTATTTTTATTTGAAACCTAACATAAGTTTTCTGTAAGGAGTGCTCTCTCTTGTTTGTTGATATAAAAATCTCTCTTTTGTGAATTGATTGTTAGTTGATTGTATTTTTTGCGATACTTCTAAGTTTAATTCTCATTCTAATACTTTTCAAATTTTACTTTTTTGCTTTTTTCTTGGATGTGTGCAAGTTGATGTGTTATCCAAATGATAAGAATGAATATTGAAATTCATCGGTGGAATGATGTGATCAAATGCATTCTTATTTGTAATATGGTTACATGGTATGTAGTTGATGCTTATCATTGCGAAGTAGGGATTTTTAAGAAGGGGTTTGGGTTGATCATTAGACTGGATCGCACCTTAAGGCCACCTTCTAAAACTTCCAATGACTTCATCAAATTAGTCCGAAATCAAGCAACATATGCAAGGAAGAAGATGCTTATCAATTGATATGTATTTACAAATGTAATGTAATATCAGAGCTAAAAACAAAAATTATTTTTGTCCTTCTAGAACGAATCGCTGGTCATGGTATATGAAGCCAGATATGACAAATATCTTTTGCATTATCATATCGGAGCGCAATAATTATTCGATTTGTGTACGAGAGTGTTGACATTCGTTATACGATGCATGAACTATGTGGATCAAGCGAACAAGGGTGTGTATGTAAAAGATGCGACACCAGAGAGTATCACTTGGGAGCAGAGAGAGTATCGTGGTGAGATCGTGGTGAACGACATGCCGTGGCCAACTACGACCTCACGGGAGAGTGAGAGAAACCCTCGGAAGAGTAAAGAACAAAAGGGCTTCCCGAGAATAAAAGCCAGAAAATAGTGGTGCGCGGCATAACGTGGTAACGGCGTCTACGTGTAGTTGGACCTCGATGGGCAACGACGGCCATGCCTTTTGTGCGCCATCGAACGGCCGAGAACGTCAAAATGCGCAGAATGACAAGTTGTAAAATAGGATGCAGCACAGAACGAGGACCGACATCCATTATGAGCCCTCCCTCGGAGCATGCAACAAACAAAACCAGTGAGCAGCGACCAGATCTTTCCCGCGTGAGGTCCAGGGGCTGTGAATCCCCGTGACGAGAAGACGCGATCAAGCGAGCATTACAGACGAGGGCGGCCATCGGACTCACTCGCTCCAACAGTGTACTGTAGAGTGCATCGGCGCACATTCCTTGGCCATGCGCGCTTGCACAATCTGTCATTCGCCACCGCAATTCCTCGTGCCCGATTGATGGAGTTTTCATTTTGCGGCTGGGCCGAGAGGGACCCGGCCTTGAGGCATAGCCAGAGGGAGAGCAAAAGGGGGACGGTTGTGGTCGGGGATATGGGTGTGTATACTTGGATTCTTTGCGGACTGCGTAATATAATCCCGTATAATACCAGATGTACTATACAACACTCAGAGGTCCACTTCATATGTTACCCTAAACCCTTATGTTATCATTCGTAGATATTACCCTCTTCCATCACTTCCTCGGTCTCGAAAATATACTCCTCATGCTGTCAACGTGATCAAATTCTTCACTGCTACCACCACCAGCATCCTCGTGGACGGGGTATTCTTCCTTTCCGTTATCAAGCTTGAATTTCTCCCAAATAGAATCTTTTGGCTTCCCCGTTTTGAGTAGAGTCTATTAAAAATCTGAAATCTTACACTTGTAGCAACAAGCAACACTTGTGCGGACTATTAAAAATCTGAAATCTTACACTTGTAGCAACAAGCAACACTTGTGCGGACTCCTATGGACTCCACTTTATGTTATACAATACTATATACAATGTATACTTTTGGAGCGTTGTATAATACAATGGTATAAAACCGAAACACGTATAGTCTGGGAGCGAGACTGTGCCGGGCCCGTGTACTGACAAAAAGAGAACAGGACTTTGCAGGCGAGGCAAGAGAAGGAAGGGAACCACGTCGCGGTGAGAGTGGCGAGGGAACCGCGTAAGAGGGCGGACCACGTCATGGTGGGGGAGGGAGTGGCCAGATGTGAAATCCCTGGGAGGTACTGTCGAAGCGAGCACTGCTGTCGTCGCTTTTTCTCGGCGTATTCCTTTTGGGGCCTGTGCATCGGACCGCACGGGAGCCCAGCAGGCGGTGAGGATGAGTGAGCGAGCAAGCGTGCCGTACAGGATTCCTTTTGTATTTGGCCTGACGAGGAAGAAGATCCAGGTTCTAACGACCAGTCCCTTACGCGCTGAAAGCAAATCGGATGATTTGGGACTGGTAGAAGATCGTTAAGACGTGAAGACGAAATTTAATTTTCTGGATTGCGTCTCGCTGCAGAACAGAAGGATTCAGGAGGATTCAGATCTGGATTCGCAGAGGTGATTTGGATTCGGACCAGCTGAAGGTCGGACGAGGCGAGGAGAGGCTCGGAGGAGGCGAGTGGGGCAGACACTCACTCATTTCATTTGCATCCAGTGATTCTTTCGCGGTTGTGTCCTGCCGCCTCTTCCTCGGTCGGGGTCTTGTTGTTCTTGAGGTTGTGTCCGGATCCTGAAGAAGGACGAGAAGATGGCCAAGGATTACGTGCATCAGCTCTTTGCCTATATGATGAAGGCGGGGCTGACCGATGACGCTGATCACTTGCATGTTGTGGCAATATCCTTGTTCGTGACACTCTTATGTGCTTGCATCGTCTTGGGTCATCTCTTAGAGGAAAATCGGTGGATGAATGAGTCAATTACCGCTCTTATTCTCGGCCTCTGTTCGGGGTTTATTGTTCTGGTCACCAGCAAAGGGGCGAGCTCGCAAGTTCTGCAGTTCAACGAGGAGCTCTTCTTCATCTACCTTCTACCCCCCATCATCTTCAATGCTGGTTTTCAAGTGAAGAAAAAGCAGTTTTTTCGAAACTTCGTGGCCATTATGCTGTTTGGAGTGGTGGGAGTTTTCATTTCCTTCGTGATCATATCTGCCGGGTGCAGATACGTCTTCCCGAAGTTAGGTCTGGGCGGATTACAGATTAGCGACTACTTGGCGATTGGGACAATATTTTCTGCCACGGACTCGGTCTGTGTTTTGCAGGTTCTGAACCAGGATTCCACTCCTCTACTGTACAGTCTGGTTTTTGGTGAAGGGGTCGTGAATGATGCGACGTCGGTTGTGTTGTTTCGGGCCGTTCAGAAATTCAACTTCGATGATTTTACAGGCCTGGAGGCGTTGCTCATTATGGGCAACTTCATCTACCTGTTTCTGACCAGTACTCTTCTAGGAGTCATGACAGGACTTCTGAGTGCGTATATAATAAAGACCCTGTACTTTGGACGGCACTCTACCGATCGGGAAATTGCGATCATGGCTCTCATGGCATATCTTTCATACATACTGGCGGAGCTCTTCCAATTGAGCGGGATCCTCACTGTTTTCTTCTGCGGCATTGTAATGTCACATTACACATGGCACAACGTGACGGACAGATCAAGGGTCACAACCAAGCACGCTTTTGCTTCGATGTCGTTCATAGCAGAGACCTTCATTTTTTTGTACGTCGGGATGGACGCCTTAGATATGGATAAGTGGAAAACAACCACGACCAGCGGGCCAGAGTCCCTGGGTGTTTTCGCGACTTTGCTGGTGCTGGTGCTGGTTGGCCGAGCTGCATTCGTGTTCCCTCTGTCTGCTCTATCAAATTACATCCACAAAAGTCCTACTACGAACATCAGCATCCGACAGCAGGTCATCATCTGGTGGGCTGGTTTGATGCGAGGAGCGGTATCCATTGCTCTGGCTTTTAATCAGTTCACTGTTTCTGGTGATACCAAGAACCCCGATCATGCCACTGCGATTACGAGCACCATTGGTGTTGTGCTATTCAGTACAGTTGTGTTTGGAATGATGACCAAGCCCTTGATCGAATGGCTCATCCCCCATCGCGCCCACGATGGGAGCGACACTTCAGAGCCTACGTCCCCGAAGGACTCTGATTTGCATACACCACTGCTCCAGGACAGGGATCCGGGTTACGAAGGAGTTCATTTCACAGTTCCAAGGAGGAGTTCCTTCAGTATGCTTTTGAGAGCTCCAACCTCCACCATCCACAATCTCTGGCGTAAGTTTGACAACTCATATATGCGTCCCGTCTTTGGAGGAAGAGGTGTTACACACGCAGAGCCGAACGATGGTATTATTATCTAATACTATATCAGTCGTCGTGAATTTGAGTCTGACCTGACCTCCAGTGTCTGAAGGGCATCCGCCTTGGACATGAGATCCCCTGTCATAGGTTCTCAATAAGTGCCAGTACTGAGCACGTGTATTTAGGGTCAGTTTCCATGGAAGATCAAGGTATCAAAGCGCACCTAGTGTAACAGTGAGGTCGACCTGTGCGAGTTTGACACTGAACCATTGTCCTGCGAGGATGTGTCGGTCATCCGAGGAGGAGAGTGAGTTTTACTCGGATTCCGGCTGAACTCCATGCCTGCAGCTTACACTGCCGTATAGATTGTGAGAAGGTTATGCAGCATTCTGCTCAACTTCAGAAGCCACCAAGTTTCTCAGTTCAGTTACGTCATCTCGTTCATGTGTTGAGTTGGCCCTTTACTGCGTCCGAGTTCGCTCTGTAGATATGAGAGGCCATAGTCTCTACTCCAGTCGTTACAAAACTGTTACATCCAGAAGTAAAGGTTACAAAATCGGAGATCAGAAGGTCGGTGGGCCGATCAAATTGCGAGCCACCATTTGTGTAATTTTTCGATGTGGAGACATTGGCGTCGTTGAATCTGTATATCCAGCGCGGAGACGGGAGACTATGTTCTGGGCAAGGGCATAAGGAATCTTCGAAGAAGCTTCATTCAGCTCAGACACCATGCAAGCGAATCGCAACTTTGTGGATGTAACAGTTTTGTAACCTCTGAAGTGCTCAGGATGTTCAACACGCCAACTACCGGCGCGTCGACTCTATGAGGCTCTATGGGCGCTGAAGGTCCAAAATCTTGACTTTCCTGAGGCCCCGTTAGCGCTTGCGGCGCATGTAGCTGCGTTTGGCGTTCCGGAATTCTCTATGTCTACCAGAGTGCTTTGATCTGTAGAATTCCGAGTTTTCGTACAAGTAAGCTCCTACGGGGCTTATTTCCGGTGCTTCAAGTAGTCGAAGCTCGTCCTGTTCTCGAGTGGAAGAGCTTCTGTCCGACAACCCCCTTCAGTGCCAGAGTATGAGCTCCTTAGTCTTGCATCCTTAGTCAAGCCCATTGGCGCTCACTTCTTCATTCCTCCTAGTGTCAACACTTACAAATTCTTTAGGCCTGTTGAGTGTGGTTTTAGAGCTGAGTCTATCAAGCCCTAGCGCTTGTTTTTTGAGTGATCCCAGTTGATGATGAAGCCCGTTTGGTGCTAAACTTGCAGTGATGTAGATTAGGTCATCTCCTGCAACGTGATGAAGCTCTTTTGGGTGCTAGGATTGAGTTTTAGCCTATAGAAAGAGTCTGTGGATAATTCCGAAGTTCCAATTTGACCAAATCGCATTTTTCCCGCAGTCTTCGTATTGAACGGATTGAACAATTTTGATTGAGTATGATTGAGAGTGAGCATGTTTTGAATGCATTGCCATCTGATCCCAGGACCGCCAGATGTGACACCTTGTTCAGTGATCTCTGACTTCCATTCATTAGACAGGGACGCTCGTTTACTTTTATCGTCTGGAAGAGCGCAGCCATCTCGGGCCCCTGAGACGATTTCGCTGATTGTTTGAGTCGAATGTAGAAGCGCTTTCCTGCTCGGGAGAGCAGTTTCGGACTTGTTGACAATCATTCCGTAATTGAGAAGAACGGTTGTTTTCAAGCGGCTTGAATCTACTTTTCAACTGTGTCTTACTGGCTTTGTGCTCTCGCTTTCAGCCTGTCTTCCCGTTCTTTTTCACGTCGTTACTTCGTGCGGAAGTTATCTGTTCCTTGGAATGTAGACCAGTAGGACTAGCGTCCCACAAGTGATCTACGTAGACAAGAAGAACGGACAAGACGTGATCGATGCAATTCTTTTGGGTATTTTTCGGGAAAAATCTGTTGTGACCGGGTAGCTTCTTTAAGAAAAGGTTATTCGATATGTTGTTCGTTCTCCATGATCGATGAATACCTACGCTCAAAACTACTCACATTAAAGTGCCTCGAATTTCATTTGAATTCCTTGATCATGTTCTGTATCGGGAGCGTGATAATCGATGTCTAGGCCGATATTGTGTATTAGTAGACATTCTGCGTAATCGTGGCACTCCTGCCAGTATTAGCTGTAGCTTTAAGTTCAGTATGGGCTGACGCCACGCGGCTTATGGTTTCCGGTAATTCACTCTGTTGTTCATGCGACAGAACCTGTTCCTGCTTGTGTGCGTTTCTATGATGAACGAGCTTGTGTTTCAAAACACTGAATATTACGCGGGAGAGCAGTCCGCACTGACTAGTTTTTGTCACCTGAGGATTAACACGAGGAGAGAAAATTTGGAACAAATCATCACTTTAAATGGTGGGTCGCATCACGTCAAACTTCGCTACCCCTTCACGATTAAGATCGTACGGTACATTTGCTCCTCCCCACAGAGCCGATTGCATCAATTGCCGTGACGGCAACCTCCGTATGAAATTGTAAAATTCAGAACACAACAAGTGCCACACTTTTCTTCACTTCCTCTGAAAGCTTCAACTGCAGACATGGAGTGTCGAGAAGGTATTTCCGCTTAAAACGGACCAACTTGTTCTTCTGAGAGAAAAGAGGCACTTACTGTACTTGAAAGAAATTTTCAATCAAAATTTTCAATAGCTGAAATCGAACAGCACGAACATGCTTATCGGATTGTACATGTGTAAGGCGTTAACACAAGATAGGGAAGTCACCAGCTCTGAGAAGGCCGGCTTCCAATTACATGGGGCAAACTTGAGCTATTTTTATCATTCACCTACGAGCTCTTTCCGTGAAAGATGTCCTCCAAAGCCAAAGGATTGGGAAAATCACAAATATGTTCCTGCTCCACTCGCTTAGAAGCCATCCAAATATGGTACCCACCCACTCTATTATCGTGGCCACACCATCGTGAGATTGCATTCTAGACCACCAACAAGCAGTCTGCTAATTCGCTCGTAAATTACATTGTGAATGAATATTTTCGTGGGTTATATAACTGTAGGACATTCAGAGTAGACGGAAATAATTAATCTGGTCCCTCTCATTTGCCCTTCTGCAGGCAATATTTGTGACCATATCACCAGACAACCGGCCACTGTCACATTGTCGTGGACATTGGCCGGTGGCAAGGGTCCGGCACCCGGTTTGCACGCAACGTGGCGCCGAGGTCGCGGGGCGATTGCCGGTCGAGTTACCGGCTGCTGAAGGCTTGACTCTAGGTCGCAGTTGGTTACTTCGAGAAGCCCTGGAAGAGTAAGTCGGGATGGCTTGCTCCAGATTAGGGTTTCGGAAATACGTGGTCGCATCGCTACTAGTCACTGTCCACTCCATCGCTCGTTCTTTTTCTCCTCTGCTGCACAGCTGCGGATTTCGGATATCTCGTTCTGAGCATTGTCACTGTCGGGTTTGTAATTCTCACCCACCCTCGCGAATCCAGTGTGTGTCGAGATCCGGGCTTAGCGTTGACAGTCTTTGGAACAGGTGTTCGCTCGCTGCGGAAGCTGGGATCGAGAGTTTGAAGCTTTGTTGAGGCACATTCGAACATTTCATGGATTCTTGCTGCACATTGAGAACCGATAGATTGAGCGCTTTGGACAAATTAGTGTTCGCTTCTGGCGGTGAATCGAAGCAGAATCCGTCTTGGTAAACTGCAGAGGCCTGGGCTGTTGGTCAGCAGGGAGTGGAACCTGCAATCATGGCGGACATAGATGTCGAGGAGATGCCTATGGCGCCCCACATGTTGGCACCAGACATGGTGGTGGAGCCCCGGGTGCAGGTAAATATCGATTGGTCACAGGTAGATTTGGACTCCATTGAGCTCCCGGAAGGAGAAAATTTTGGAATTTTAAGCGACGACGACCAGGAAGAAGAGGAGATTTTGGAGACGAACACGGGGTTCGGCAATGTTATCGTGGTTGACAATCTACCAGTGGTCGCACCAGAGAAACATGAGAAACTTGAAAACGTCATTCGGAAAATCTTTGGCCAGATCGGAGTCATAAGGGAAAGAGGTCTGTGGATGCCCAGGGAAGATGGAGATGGAAAAACCAAAGGTTACGCCTTCATCGAATACACCACTCCCCAGGTAAAGATCCAAAAACATGTGTATTAAGCTTTGCTACATCTGTCCGAGCCGTTTCTTTCTTGAGATCCTTCGCTAGACATTGGCCGGCCGGTCATATGGGCTCTATCTTTCTGTCTTGCTACGCTGATCTAGGTGCATTTTGGTCATCGAAATGCAGGAGGCTCAAACTGCTATAGAGCAGACGAACGGGTATAAACTTGACAAGGCCCATGTCTTCGCAGTCAACATGTTCGATGACTTCGAGAAGTACATGAAAGTGCCTGACGAATGGGTGCCTTTGGAAATCAAGCCGTACACACCAGCCGAAAATATGCTCGCCTGGCTCACGGACGATCGCGGTCGTGATCAATTTGTTATTCGTTTTGGATCTGACACCGAAGTTTTCTGGAATGATGCACGACAAGGGAAACCGGACCCCGTCTATCATCGTTCATTCTGGACGGAAAGTTTCGTTCAGTGGTCCCCTCTTGGTACCTATTTGGCGACCATTCATAGACAGGGAGCTGCTGTGTGGGGAGGAGCTCAAACTTTCAACCGTCTCACCCGTTACATTCACCCCCAGGTAGGAAATTCGACTACTGCCTTCCTTTTGTATGCATCGAATTGCAAGCCATTAGTCTATCTTCCTTTTTATGCATGGGAACTTGGTTACTTAGGTCAAGACCTTTGTGATTAAGGAACCTACGTCATTTCTGTACTGATTGAACTGATATTGAATTGTATTGTCTGTCAGGTGAAATTGATAGACTTCTCTCCTGGTGAGAAATACATGGTCACTTACAGTAGCCATGAACCAAGCAATCCTCGGGATACACAGGTATGTCGCTCAATGGAATTTCCAAATATTATGTTAAGTCCGCAGGCTCCTTGTACCATCCTGGGATCTACGATTAAGTATGAATATGGCTGCAGTGGCACTTCTGAAAGCATGCGAGGACCTATCTGCTGTAGAGTGCTCACCGACTATGTCGGTTGCAATTAATGTGCAGAGAGTTGCCCTGAACATCTTTGATGTCCGAAGCGGAAAAGTGCTGAGAGACTTCAAGGGAAGCGCGGACGACTTTGCCACTGGTGGAACTGGTGGTGTTGCTGGCGTTTCATGGCCAGTATTCAGGCAAGTTTCATTTGCATCATCTAAGCCGAAGTCTTCTGTGGCCCCTGCATAGGAGCCTCGCTTCTCAGGCAGAGACGTCTGCTGCAGATCTTGATGTTTTGACCTGTATTGTTGTTCATAATTGAATGCATTGGGATTCCTGGCTAATTGCATTTCGTCACTGCAGATGGGCTGGAGGCCGTGAGGATAAATATTTCGCCAGAATTGGCAAGAATGTCATCAGTGTTTATGAGACCGAAACCATGAGCTTACTCGATAGGAAGTCCTTGAAAGTGGATAACGTAATGGAGTTCATGTGGTCTCCCACTGATCCTTTGCTCTCCCTCTTCGTTCCCGAGGGTGGTGGTGGAAACCAGCCTGCCAGGGTAAGTCCTGTGGTTCAGTTATGACTGATAGTCTTTTTTAATTGCTTCCTGGTCCACGAACTTGTTTCGTGGATGTTACATCACTTATTCTAACAGGGATACAAATATTGATGCTTGTGAACGGAAAAAACTGTCGTCTTATGTTTGTTCAAGTCCTTCACGAATTGAGCAGGTTGTGTACGGAGTGGATATTTTACACTGATTTCCCGGGTACTTTTAACGCTTGTTACCGCGTCCGCTGCAACAGGTCAGTTTGATCTCAATTCCAAGCCGAGAGGAGCTCAGGCAGAAAAACCTCTTCAGCGTCAGTGATTGTAAGATGTACTGGCAAAGCAATGGTGATTACCTTGCAGTCAAGGTGGACAGGTACACGAAAACAAAGAAGAGCACTTACACTGGTTTCGAGCTTTTCCGCGTGAAGGAGAGGGACATTCCTATTGAGGTCCTTGAACTTGAAAACAAGAACGACAAGATCGTTGCTTTCGCATGGGAACCCAAGGGTCACAGGTTTGCCATCATCCACGGAGACGGCCCCCGACCTGATATCAGCATTTACTCCATGAGGAGCCCCAACAATGTCGGCAGAGTGACCAAGCTCACCACCCTCAAGGCTAAGCAGGCGAATGCTCTGTACTGGTCTCCCATGGGCAAGTACATTGTACTTGCTGGCCTCAAGGCTTACAACGGACAGCTGGAATTTTACAACGTTGACGAGTTGGAGACGATGGCCAGCGGTGAACATTTCATGGCCACTGATGTTGACTGGGATCCCACTGGAAGGTGAGTTTATTTGAATGCAAAGGGCTTCATCCGTCCACCTTTCCTAGTTAAGTAGCGATGAATATGTTTCTGATATGCGTTTCCACCTCGACAGGTTTGTCGCCACATCCGTGACGTCTGTTCACCAGATGGAGAACGGTTTCAACATCTGGTCATTCAATGGAAAGCTCCTATACCGTCTACCACGAGACCGGTTCTTCCAGGTGAGAGCCCGACGATGGACCCCATTGTTTCTCATGCCTGATATATCTTTTGGTGGAACTGGACCGGTTACATTGGTTTCTTTCTGGTACAAGGAAGCGATGTTAGCAATGTTGCTCTTTTCTGCAACTTTTATACCTTACGCCTTGATGAGCTGACAATGAGTAGGTTTGCATCAAGTATACTGAGTCTTCTGACTTTTTGCCTTACAGTTCTTGTGGCGTCCGAGACCCCCGTCATTGCTCTCTGCCGAGGAAGAGGCCGAAATTGCCAAGAATCTGCGGAAGTACAGCAAGAAGTACGAGGTTGAGGATGCTGAACAGTCGAACATCAACACAGCCCAGGACTTGGAGCACAGGAGGAAACTGATGGACGACTGGAAGAGCTGGGTTTCCCGCTGGAAGCAAATGTATGAGGAAGAGAAGCCTTATCGCGAGGATTTGAGGGATGGGGAACCAAGTGACGACGATGAAGATTTGGAGACAGAAGAAGTAGAGGTAGAGGAGATTATGAAGTGCGAGGAAGAGGTTATCTCTTACGGATTCGAACAGGTCGATTAGACGGGAAGTAAAGCTTGGTGGCAGCCCTTGGTCTTCACTATGTAGCTCGTTGGGTCCAGTTTGAACCTTTGAAAATCACTCGTTTTTTCGTTTGAGGAAATTCTGAAAGCTTTTCAAGAGAAAAGCTGGGCCAGAAGAGTATTGAACGCCTACCCCAGGAACGCCGGGGACATCTGGCATTTTTGACCTATGATTTTGTGATCATGGTGTAGATTGATGAAATGCCCCGCCTCCATTCAGATGTATAGTAATGTGTTTCTCAAGTTTCGAGATTCTTCCCGACAGTGATTTTCCGGGCTCTTTCAATGCAGCGTTCTAAATGTTGGCCTGCCTTCATTCAACCGTTGGTAAGTTTTGAACGGGATGGAGTTACCTACCACTGTGCAAGGGTTGGAAACTGTGCTTTCTAGTGGTAAACTGTGAACGGGATGAAGTCATCTTATACTCTTCGAGGGTTGGAAATTGGTGCTCTCTTGCGGCAATCTACTTCGCTTGGTGTCGATAGTGAAGTCAGGAATATTGGGTGGAACGAAGTGAATATTGATTTGCCTGCTCTGTGTGTGCTGTGCATGAGCAAAATATCTCACCGTGTTAATACATGCCAGACGACATGATCGAAGCCCTAGAAGAAAAATGATCGTATTTTAGTCCTTGCAAAGCTTTCTCACAACGATTCAAAAGTTTGTCACACATTGTATTCTATTTAGATAAAAGTAAACTCATAATAATGTTATAGAATTTAGTCTTCTTATAAGTGAATCATAACGAATAATCTCTAGGAACTCTACAGGTCTCACTTTCAGAATAGCACTACCACTTTGTCACGTTGATACTGACAGCAGGAGATACGTATCTTACATAGCAAATTCACAACCTCCGGTATGTGTAGGTGTTATCTGGAAAGGGTGAACGTTCTGATCTGATGAAGTTCTCTGTGGAAGTCACTACATTATGTACATTTCTCGGAAATACCAGCAACTGAAGCTATACAATTTACTGGAAAATATTACTTCGAACGTATTAGAAACTGAAATGGTGCATTTCACTGGAAAGTTGAAATCATTATGAGGTCGAGTAAGTATCTTCGTTAGAAGCCGAAAACTTCTCAGGAAAATTTACAACTACATGATATTATAGGTGAACAATCTTAGTAAGCCTCCACGTTTTGCTGAAAATAAAAAATATGTAAATTTTTCACAATTCTGGTATGATTGATATCTTTAGAAATGAAATTGTTGACTTAACGAATCGTGAAAAAATTTGAAAGATACACAAAAAAATATTTCGATTAAGTCAACTTTGGATTCGTAGAATGTGCAAAACATAGTATAAGATTCAAAAGATCGAAAATTTATTTTTTCTGAATTGATTAGTTGCATATGATGTCAACGTGAATATAAACTCAGAATTTCGCCGGGAAGTATATATAACTAAAATTTGTGAATGTTTTCACTTTCGATCATTTATCTCATGTACCTGTAATAAATTCTCATAGATTATACGAGAGATAAAATAAGAAAATATGTCAAGATTCTTACGATTTTTTTTTCAATTGATTGTTCAAACTATTTCATTTTACGTGATTGTACAGCTGAGTTTAATTTCGTTACCTACTTCGTTTTTGAAGGTATCTTTGTTTCTTGTAGATGCAGTATTTTTTCCAGTTGAAGAAAATTGTTTACTTAAATAATATACAAATCGCTTTTGCAACAATGAGCCTGAAGATGACTGTGGAGCTTTATTGGTTGTCTTTCGCAACTCAAACTTTTTATGACAACTGAAGAATAAAGCATAGTATTATCCATGTAAAGTCGTAGAAAGAAAACATATAATTCTGAAGCTAGATAATTTTCTTTTAACATAACATAGGTTTGTAGAAATATGATAGATATTGATTTTGCACAAATAATTTGTTTGAATCATCAAATACACATACCTCTTGAAATATTGTAAAATCGTTATTACAGCATACGAGATAGAATATGATATAAATGTATACTACTTCTAGTCTCGTCATGGTGAACATCACCAGTCTAATGACTGCATGGACTGTTGTCTAGTGCAATTCAAATGACAACGAATTGTGGATCTTTGCTACAAGTAACTTAATGATTCATTTGAATCTTCGTTCGTCACATGTATGAGTCATGAAGATTTTGACGTGAAAATCCACGAAAAGCAAAAGATTATGGTAGTAAAAATAACTGATAAAAGCAAGAATTTTTTTGAGCTTGTTCAAATCAATATTCACAAGTTCATTTTTGCCTCAACAAGAACTTAAACAAATCTTGGTATTACAACAAATGATCATATTCAAAAAAGAAGAAGAAGATTGCTAAGTTTATCGAGCAACGAATTTGAATCATGATTCCTAGTGGACTACTTCAAACATCGCTATTATTTCTAATTCATTCATAAACAAATAAACAAAGTTACTTATAGTTATACATATAACAAAATGACCCTCTATTCAGAATTCTCACATGCTTTTCAACAATTTGTACAGTAAATATACAATAATCGGAGAGATAACACAGAAACTGAGAGTATTCATGTAACCAAAAACATTTGATTCTCACCTTTTTCACCGGAATCATAGAATGTTATCACAACAAGTCTTCGTGCCAAAGATCATGTCACACACTCACATATTCTTAGTTAAATGATGTCTTCAAAGTATCCATGCCTTTATGAACAAGGACTTAAAAATACTGATAGCAATGCATCTTAAGAATGAATCAAGCAAAGTAGATTGGAAATTCATTTAGCATTTTTAGAGTAGATTATAACAAACACCATCCGTGAATACATCAATAGAGAGGTTGTGAGATGTGATAAAAACATCTTCACCAACCGTCTGGATAAAGATCCGATATCTATGATTATAACCTCGATTTAAAAAAATATCTGGATTCTTATTGCGGGTCCAAAGTAACTTCCATCTAAATATGAGACTTTTGTAAAGCTATTTAGAAAGAAAAAGCATCCTTATATTGGCGACTTTGCATTCGTATGAAATAAATATATAAGAATCGTAGGAATGCTGTAATGATAAAAAATCATACTAAAACTAAGTAGGTGCAACAAGATTTTCAAATTAGTAATTCAGCCGAATTCTCAAATTTGTTTTCGACAATCTAGGCATCATATGTATGACAAGATCTTCTAACAAACTCATTTATCATTCATGGTAAGACCTTTGAGGTTAGTTGTTGGGCTATATTAAATCAGGACGAAAATATCTCATCAAGCTGATAGTTCAACTGATAATACTCTAGAACCGATTCTTTCTAACCGATTCTCTACTGATTCTTATCACTCAAGTAAACTCACTCTTACATCACAATTTTAGATGCATATGTATTTTCTACATTCTAGAATAAACAAAATATAGCATAGTATATTATGCCATATTTTTTATAAAGATGCATTATGCTATATTTTTTATTTTATTGTTTTGTATATGTAAGGGTGAACTTATAACTACGTTTTCTTATATCCTCGACCAACTTATTTTGCCCGTCACATTCATCGTTCATTGTAAAGTTGCGCATCACTCGACTTCTGTGCAAGAAATCGTGACTCTTCGACATCTCACGTCATCAAATCCGTGCTGGCAGAGCTATTTGGTACGAACAGACATAGCACGAGGAGTTGAACGGAATTTCCTTCTGTCATCGAAAGCTCTGGGCTCGGAGACTTCGATTCGAGCTGGAAGGGGAGTTCCATTTCGAGTGTCGAGGAGAAGGGATTAGTGAGGACGAATGCGCAGTCAAGCGATGGCGTCGAGCGATGGAGACGTCCCTGGACAGAGATCGCATCTGAAAGTGCTCGGGGAAGTAGCTCGCGTGAGTGCGAGCGAATACGACTACGGGCTGTTCTGGAAGGAGTACATGCGAGCAAACAAGCCTGTCGTGCTCACAGGGCTGATGGAGTCGTGGCGATCGTGCGAAGATTGGGTGTTGGAATCTGGAGCTCCGAACTTGGATTTCATCGGTGAGAACTTCGGCAGCTCTCGAGTGCAGGTGGCAGATTGTGCGAGGAAAGAGTTTTCCGACCAGAAGAGGCAGGACATGACGGTCAGGCAGTTTGTGGACTACTGGTCGGCTCTCAGAGACGATGCGGCCTCCAATTGCAATTCCGAGAGTCGACTTTTGTACCTGAAAGATTGGCATTTCGTCAAGGAATTTCCTGCCTACTGTGCCTACAATACTCCCGAGGCCTTCTCGGACGATTGGCTGAACACCTTCCTGGACGCGTTTCAAATGCACTCCGTGAGCGCTGAAATCACACCGAAATCATCCAACGATGACAATCAGTGTTCCGATTATCGGTTCGTTTACATGGGACCCAAGGGGACATGGACACCTCTACACGCAGATGTGTTGCGGTCGTACAGCTGGTCGGCCAATGTCTGTGGGCGGAAGAAGTGGCTCTTACTGCCTCCCGAGCAGGTCGAGCTCGTGTACGACAGGTTTCGGAGAAATACAGTGTACGACATTTTCTCCGAGGTTTCAGAACAGCAGTTCCCAGGGTTTAGTCAGACTCGGTGGATGGAGTGTGATCAGGGACCGGGAGAAATCCTTTTCGTTCCCAGCGGTTGGTTTCATCAGGTGACGAATGTCGAGGACACGATTTCCATCAATCATAATTGGCTGAATGGCTGCAACCTTCACTGGGCGTGGAAGCTGCTGAGGAAGGAGTACAGGGAAACTGTGGAATCGATCGAGGACATTCGCTCCATCGCCAACGACTTCGAGATGTTGTGCCAACGTAATCTTGCTGCTAATTCGGGGATGAATTATCTGGATTTTGCCATTTTTGTCGCAAAGATGGTTGATGGCAACATCGGATTGCTCTGGGACTTGTTCCAGAAGTCCTTTGGTGAGAAAAAGCTTGCGTTGATCGAAGACTCGGTGTGGAAATGTACAATTCATCAATGCCTCTTCAACTTACTGCAGATGAAGCAAATACTTGAAGAGATGATCCTCGAAGACGCGTTCCAGCTGGGAGACAGTTTCGCTGTTACCGTAAACTGCAAATTTTTGGAGTCTGTGTACAACGTTAGGGCTGAATCAGACGACTGCACAGCTCCTCTTGATGGCAAACTTGCTGTAGAATATGCGAGAAGTCCAGAGATGCGTTTCATCTCTGCGTTTTTTCGGGTATTTTCTCTCATGGAGGATACCGTCTCCAGCCAACCTATCGAGATTACAGATCTTCTTACAGAAGATGACCAAAATCTGAGTGATGCCAAATTGGACCAAGAGTTACCGAGACAAAGAGCTGCAGAAGATTCGGGACCGCTTCTCATTCTGAAAGCTATCCAGTATGTGCTGGATACGGCAAGTGGAGCCGGACTTATGGCCTCATATATAGACCAATGTTCAGTAACAATACCAGTAACCTTGACTCTCAATCAGCCCTGAAAACGATGTCTAAGATTTGTCCCTGCCTCTTTTTGAATTCCCTCAGTACACCTCCACTACGTCCAATTGCGTTTCCACTGCCAACTGTGCAATTGATTATTCCCGAAATCCGCACGCCCACAAAACTTGTGATCTACGTTCCATTCCGGAACATCGCTCTTACCGTAACACAATATTATCACTTAGAAGAAGTAACATCCACTCACTCACTCACCCGAATACATTCAATTGGTGTTGGATTACTAAATTTGAGATCCTTCCTCTGAAGACTATGGACATGATACATACGCACGGTGAACATCAATTACCCGAACAAAACAACTGGAATTGTGGCCTTTGTAGACACTGTACGAAATCCTTTCACTACGCAATCAATAGGATTTCGTAGTGTCTTAAGTGATATTCCAGTATGTTCAGCACGTCTTGAAAAAGGTCGAAGGATGACAAAGCATAAGCAACGAAGGTTTGGGTTAAGGAAGCAGCCCTCTAGAGGATATTGATTCACAGATGACTCCGTCGGATGAAAATGCTAGCAACATTAGACTTTGGTAACTTCATGCAAGTCAACACAGCCTTACGACAGGTGAAACACCGAGGAGATAAGACGGCCGGCTCAAGAGCGAGTAACGCAACACTCTTGTGTGATCGTCGGGTTGGACTCATGACTGTTTGCTTCCCTCGGTGCGACGGCAGACTTGTAATGCAGTGTAGTCGATGATCAAGCGCAAAACAGAGAACTAACTGAGCTGATACGCTGTTCCTCCCTGAGAACTTCGGACAATTTAGTATATCGTAAACCTCGTATCTCCATTCTTATGGGTAGATATGAGTGTGAAGCTCGAAATAAGCTCACATGTGAAAGCCCACAGGTTTCAACTGCATGTACAATTTTTATACTTTCGTGCGACAGTGGCAATTGACAAGAACACTGGTATCATCGAGACAGTGAACCGAAATACCTTTGGCAAACTATGTAATACACCTACAGTTCCTCGTGTGCTGGCAACGCACCTTTTCTTGGCACAAAATTGATTTAGCCAAAACCAGTATTGATACTATTGTCTCACCGCTAACTATGACTACCCCAGCTGTGCTCTGCTTTGTCAGAGCATGGGCAATGCGCATGCATGCCTTCACGAGACTTTGTAGAATTGGGTAAGTTGTAGACAACTCACACTACAATTCGTTGGAGTCTCAACCCTCCATTTTAAGTCACCCGGCAGGTCATATACATAGAGTCTGAAATATAGTCACACTTACGCTCTTTGACATTAATGTTACGCAGGAGAGAAGCCCACACCGGGCCTCGCTCCGTGATGTTTCGGAAACCCAGCTACCTATGACAAAATTGGAATCCTCAATCTCCCGACACCTGTTGAGAAATCGGGAAATTTGGCGCTTCGCTATCGTTTCTTAAACCCGTACTTCTTCCGCTCGTAAAACAGATCCGTTTTGGCACTTCCAAGATTAACAATTTTCGGACAACCGTCGCGGTCCTTCTCCTGCTGCGTGCACTCTTTGCAATAGTACGCATCCGATATTCCCAAGCCTCCGCATATAACACATCTGCCCTGATACGATCCGTAGTTGCACTCATCGCAAACCCTAACGAGGGTACAAGGCCGCACGTAAGAATCGCAGATGACGCACTTTCCATCGCATTTCTCGCACAGGCGCCCGATTGCGATCCCCGGTTGCTTCCTGCACATAATCAAATCCGGATGATGCTTCGCCATCTCGCTCCACTTCCTACCGAGCTATGGCCGCAGCACCTCGCCTCACCTTCGACGCTCTCCTGGCCAGCTCCTGAACCCGCGCTCCACTTCCGAAATGGCGAGCGAGCGCAAATTGCAGCGCGAGCGGGAACGAGAATCCTCGAAGCCTCGAGCGAGCCTCGTCCCGTCAGCTCGGCGGATTCGAACGCACGTTAACGGGACACGGCCGGGCCTGCGCATGTACACTGGAGCCCTAGAAGACGTGGGCTCACCCCGCCGGTTAATTCCACGCTAACTCTAGTTTAGCTATATGTTATGCTTAATTCCTCCCCTTAGCCAGTTCGGATCCTCTCGACGAGTTGATTATTCGCTGGTGCTTTCAGGCCGTCCTATTTTTAATTATTCTTATACGAAAAAACTGTCTTTTGGTATTTTGATTTTTATTTGGAAGGAGCAGTATGTCTCATATTGCAGAAATGGTTAGCACTTTTAATAATTTTTACGAAATATTAAGTGTCGAAGTAGGTCAAAATTTTTATTGGCAATTATGTAGTTTTCATCGGGAAGTTATAAGGTGAGGATTAATAAAATGTGGCATGGCGAGTCTAGGGGATTATAACACCAACCTAGAGCAATTAAATTTCTTGAGGTTTAGTTTGAAGGTTGTCTATGGCCGGGGCTGAATCATCGCGAATTGCTAACATGTCTATACCGCTTTTTCCCCCAAAGATAAAGTGTAGACTACCATGCTACTGATTTATTGAAGTTGATTTATAACTTATAAATCAAAATTAAAGTTAAAATTAAGAGAAAAATAATGTGTAGGGAGAATTACGTATTAATTATAAGTCATTCTCCCTACACACTAATTTTCTTTTGCACCTTCCACTGGTTCATTCTTTTCTTTATTCTTTAGTCTTCCAGATATTTACCTATTTTATCATCTATTTTGATATGAAAACTTTATATAAGAAATCACTGATGATTTAACTGTGAAACTCAGACGTATGATTTGAATTGATTAGATTATATGATGATTTGAGAGGCTCTTGTAGAATATTTGATAACTTTATTATTTCCTTGGGAAGCAAGATGTTCCTTGAGGATTTTACGAATGAAAAATGGCTATAGTAATCGAACCATGCTAAGAAATTAAGTTGTTCCGCGAGTTAAAACTTTGAGAATCTACGGAAAAATAATACGGAGGATTTCAAATCCGCTATAGAAAATAAAATATTTTTCTTATATTGTGCAAAATTTGATTCCGAAACTAAAGTTAGAAATCTGTCCGTGTTATAAATTAAAATTAAGGTTCCATCTAAATTTGTTGGATCATATATATATATATATATATATATATATATATATATAAAAAGACGATCACATCACCGAGGTGAAATATCTTTGATCAATGATGTAGTCATACAGTTGTAGAAGTGGTTCTTACTTAGAAGTCGTCACTCAAACTCCAAATATACAATATCTGTAAACATTTTTGCATCTTATCATGATTCATATCATTAGGAACAAGAATCTCTTCAAAGTTTTCATTTTTCCAACTTTGCTCATGTGAGATACTTTTTTTCCCCATCAAAAAATGTTGCACACTTGGAATATGAAACACTTGTTTGAAATTCATCAATAACTTGAATATTGATTCTTTTTCATCAGTAGAATTTGATGGTTTGATTTTCTTACACTAAAATCTTTTTTATTGAAAAAGCTTTGGGTGAAGAGTGTTGTGGGGAAAATTGAACGAAAGGAAGCACAAGGCAGCACCATCTACTCTTCTTACCACTGTGGTAATATATATATGCATCCTTTTTCAAAGAGTAAGTATTTACTTGATGGGATACCATCAAAACTGATCTTGCTCAATAGACCTATCAAGTTTAGTTTAACACGATGGGATCCCATCCACGGCACACCGTCAGAAAATTCTAAAACATGTTAATGAACACACACGCATATGATGAGAGCTTTAGTGTACCTCTACGATCGCAAATCGCAAACCTTTGTGAGTGCACAAAGGTTTTGGATTTTGAGCTGTCGGAAATTCGACTTGGTGAGCAAGAGCGGAAATGTGGAATCTATGGAGGAAATTCATAAGGAGTGAAGAGTAGTAATTGTGAATCCGAGTGTCAGGTAGTTTTACAAATTTGGATTCAATGGAGAAGTCTAGGACGAAGAAAGATCAGGGTCCAATTGCACTAAGTGGAAATTTGAGCTATTCAATGATGGACGACGAGGACAGTCTCGCTGTTACAGTTTCACTCTTTGCAACGTATTGTTAGTACTAGAACATGTGTGACGTGTATCGTCAACGAGATCTCATTGGATAAAACGAAATTTAAAGAGTCCCAGTAAGCAGTTTAGGTTCTGATGTGGTCCCATCAAATAAATACCCAATGTCTCCTTGCAAGAGACATCTGGTTCAAGTTTACTCACAATCATTTATTTGTGAAATTGTTTTACAAGTCATGTAGACTTGTAGTTTATGTGAAAAAATATGTAATAACATTGTTTTTCGATACATGAGGGTTAAAAAGTATCAACTCACAACTTTCGTGTGAACCAACTAAAATTTTAAGTGGTGACTGCTTGGCCATAGGGTTGGCAATAGTGATGGGCATGTATTAAACCATAGTATTATACACACATTATGATACAAGGCTTAAAAAATTGCATTGTTCTTGATTTCATTAAAACTTACTATGTGATATGCTTATTTGTATCATCATCTTGACCAAATAGTTTCAAATCAAAGTGTTTAGAATTCAAATCTGAGGTTCGGAAAGTCCTCCGCATCCACCGAAGATTGATTCAACTGGCTTTATTCTTTGACGGATAAAAACTTGAACTGATACCTCATATCATTGGGTTGCATTTGCAACACAATTGGATTTATTCTTTGATGGATGAAAACTTGGACTGACCCCTCATATCATTGGGTTGCATTTGCAACACAATTGGCTTTATACTTTGATGGATGAAAACTTGAACTGACCCCTCACATCATTGGGTTGCATTTGCGACACAATGTACATCAAACCAATCATAAAATTAGGTCGCACGGTGCATGCCATCACATGAGTTTCCAAATCTTCGACCTTGGCTGCAAGGTCGAAGATTTGCTTGGGCAAATTGTTAGAATCGATTATACTCCATGTAGGGTGTCGATGTCTGCCTCAGCGGCGGCAAACATCTACTGGATGTATGTGATCAATGATATGGAAAATGCTCAAATTGCAATGCGTGAAGGGGAAGTCTTGAGTCCAAAGTCTCACCAATGCATTTTCAAATCATTTTTTTGCAATTTAAAAACTTTACAACTAACTTTGGAATATTGTACATTTCAAATTTATATAATAATGTATTAAACTCACAAAATTTGGGCGTTTAGCATTATACCCGACACTAGCTGCGAGTGCAGTAAGACAGGAAATAGGACGAAGTTTGCAAACCTCCTACCGGATGGAGTATTTCGTAAAGACCAAAATATCTTACTCACAGCTGGCCCTAGTAAGAAAATTTCAGATTTTGACAACCCGTGGTGTCAGGAACGCTCAAGGTTGCCGGTGATTTTGAACAGACCGCGCGGCATTCCCACCTACCTTGCACACGAATGCTCCATTTAGCATTATAATCCAGGTGATCAGGCTGTCTTACACTACAGTTTGAGGACGCACCGGGTAAAAGTTAGAAAATCACTTAGTGGCAATAATTCCTCTCACGGCGAAAGAGATATTATTGCCAGACATTCAGATGATGAAAATCAGTATCCAGATCCGATGTCAATTGGAAAACATTGGTCTAGGTGAATCAGTTGAGCGTCAGAAATAACACACATACGGAGTGATCGGCGTGTGTCCATGCGTTTGCTCTGGCTAGGATGCAACTTTTGTGAATGTGTACTGTTTTAGCTGAAGACTTTCTGTTAAGTCGTGAAATTCTCTTACGGTAAGTACTATTGATCTATACATTGCTTAAAAAGTCCGGACAAATCTGAACTGAGTTTCCTCAGTTCAGTTTGGTAAACGCATCCAAAGTAGAGGAGCAAGGAACTCAGCCCAAAAACGGGTTGACACAAAAAGTACTGAACAGCTTTCTAGGTAGAAGTAAAACCCCATCCAACAGCTCATTCGATTGTCAATCAAGTGTAATCCGGTTGACGTTGAATGTACAACGTAAACTGAAATTTCATGCTGATTTGACTATTCGACGATGGTTACAGATTCTGGAAGAGTGTCTGCATTTGAGATGATGGTCATCCGCAGTATCTGCCTATATATACTCAACATGATGGGATCACGACCCAGCTGCATGCGGTTACATCAACGGAACCTGCGTGGTGAAATACGCTAGCAAACTCTTAGACGTGTCGTAAAGCTCCTCAAAACCCATACATATGGTCAAAATTGTATTCTAAAAGTACAAAGTTAAGAGCTATGAGCCGGAAACCAGGAAGCACTTATGCCCTTCAGTAGAAACAACTATCTCTATCAATCTCAGTACATGTCTCTAAGTATCGTCAACCACCGTCTAGCCCTCGCTAGATGAAATATCCTATTGTGATATGTATTTATCTGACTGCTCTTGTAGAAGTCTTGCCGAAGCCTTCGCATCCAAGAATAGGTCTGCAATATCCTCAAGGTCCCCCTGCACATACAAGATGAAAGATTTCTACATTAGCAAAACATCTTGATACAAACCTTCAAATACCAGTGAGAGATCATAAGAGCATAAACAAGCACTAAAACAATATGCAAACGTAGTCTATCTCCGTAAAGTTTTGGGGAAACAACGTGATAGCACTGTGATATCTCCGGAAACCGTCTTTCAATTCGACCTGGCAGGATAGATAAGTCAAGGTTGACCCAGGCTTACTTTTTTTGAAAGTTTAGGTTGAAATTCACGCACTGATATCACGTTTTAATACATAGAGAGCACAGATTTAGCTCTTAACCCTGAGATAACTTGAGACATGTGCCAATGGATACTCAGATAAAATAATACCTTCGAAATGTCATCACGTCCATTAGTACGTGCTACTATGCTTGCCGGTGTCAACAGCTGCACTGCGTGTCTGAAACATACAATAGAAGCGAATATACTAACCACGATTAGGTCGTTGAGAAAAGATATTTCTTTCCTAAAGTGATTTCAGATGAGAACTAGTAACTGAAGTTCAGGTATACTGCATAATCAGCAAGACGACATAGAATTTGATAATTCACACTGATGGAAACCTCCCTAAATATAAGCTGAAAAACAACGGTTAAGCAAACATTGCGAGACATCATGACAGTAGAATTCAAACATATCATTCAACTAGAGATATGGTTAGAGCTCAAAAGCCGTACCTGAGTGACGTTCTATCCCCAATAACTCCAAGATATGCTAGACTCTCCTCATCTACTACCAAACCTTCTACCTGAGCACGAATGGCCAAAATCTGGAAGAAAGAAACTGTATATTAGTGGAAGACGGAAATCACACATCTTCAACCCCTGTATTTCTCACTGCAACCGATGAATCTCGTTTGAAATCTCACTCAAGAGCACACACAAGAAGAATATTAAGTTTCGACGTGACTTAAGTCCAGAAACAACTCAAACTGATGGGTCAACAATTATGTTGAGAACGAAATGTCACCTGAACCATCTCAGCCGAAGTATATGGAAGAGTTCTAATGATGACCAAACGATCCAAAAGGTCCACAGGAATTCCGTGGGGGCTGCTAATGTCCGTGCCACTGTACACGTTCAAACATTCTCATCACATGTTGCGCTACAATGAAAATCAACTTTCAGCAGGAACAACACCTAACAAAATCGAATCAACTAAGAACCACGTAAGAAGAAACTGCATACTACCTAGACCCAACATTACTACAATTGGCAAGTCTGATCTGATTGCAATAACAAGATATGAACAAATAGAGGCTAGAGGTCAGAAGGATTGCTCTAGAAGAAAAAGTCGGCAGTCTGGCTAATTTCTTCATGTTCTCCACAAAGAAAGAGAATTCCAAAGTTCTTTGGAATTCTCTTTCTTTACCCCATACGAAAGGAAGTCAACGAAATACTCACCGGACAGTACAAATGCCACGATTTGTAGCAAAGATTACTATAGGAGCCAACGAGCTTTCAAGTGCACGATTCAAGTAGGTAAAGCATTCAACATCGAGCATGTGTACCTGTGCAAATAGAAACGTCCATAATAAGCACGATAAGAATATTATGGCGTAATATATGTATAATATATCATCCAAAAAGAAGTATAGGCTAAAGAGTGCACAAGTGGAAGGGGACAGAAAATGTATTTACCTCGTCGATAAATAACACACCTGGAACGAGCTCCGCAACACCTTGATCGATGTATCTATTCACCACCTGGAAACCAAAGAGAGGGTAGAGTCACTATACTCGATAGCTTGAAACACCAAAAAACTTTAGCAGGTGACATTACTTTCTACTCCAACAAATCAAAAAGCGCACCTTGTTAATTTCTTGGCGAAGTTTGTCTGTAATTTCAGTCTTTTTCGGTTTCATCATCTGTCCCATCATGGACAAGATATCCTGACCACCTTGCGGTCGTGCATTTGCAGCATCAAGATCATGCAAAGTGACATCCTGCAGATGGATTGGCAGATATCTGTGATCAGTAGAGTTCACGCTTTCAACCAACTGCACAAAAACTTATAAACGACGTAGATTTGACAATACCTATTCGATGTGATTCACGAGACAGAACCCTAAACAAATGCTCCAGTATTTGATAAATTAAAAGGAAGGTATAAGCACCGAACCAAGAGATCTTCGTGCCCAATAACAAAGACAAGTACGCTCATTTCTTACTTGAACAATTTCCTTCTTCTTGTGAACTTCACCCTTAGGTAGAGGAACATATTCTTCTGCTTCCAAATCGAACTCCGTAGCGAAAGCATCGCTTCTTCCAACTCTTTTCACAGCCCCGCTGTTTGCCTCAATGTAGATAACATCTCCTACAGACACCTGGAAAATTTGATGCCTGATTTAGGTCACTCCAAGTCAAAGAACGACCTACCTGCTGGAAACGAAAGTAATTTTACAAATTTTTCAAAGAAATTACTGGAAGTATGAGTCGGGACGAAGATTCAAGGCATCACAGAGTAAGTAGTAAGATATCTTCAAGCTCACATAGCTCGAAACAAAAACGTCCAGCTAGAAATAGGTAACATCTGTAGTCATTGACTAGTGTAAGCATGGAAATAAACAAGTTGGCAGTGGCGAAGACAAGTTGGCAGAAACGTAATAGAAGCTTCAATAGCACCGTAAGCCACAACAATAAAGTTTGTGGCTTAAGGTGCCACAACCTTTATTGTTGTGGCTTACGGTGCCTAGATTCTTAAATGAGGCTTGTATGCAAAGTGACTGCTCAATCAGGCATCGAAAGAATGCGCATCACATCAGATAAATAACGCTCTTGGGGAGAAAAATCTGTACCTTTTCCTTAATAAGTGCATCATAAATGGTCGGATCGAGCTTTAACTGTTTAGTACCCTTTACTGTCTTCAATCCGATTATCACGTGACTTATACTCTTTCCATAACCACCTGTAGTACTTTCACTTTCTTCAGGGCTAAGTTCTGTAACCTACACAAAAAAATATTCAATTGTGCAAACCACGCACAAGTTTCTCATTGTCACTTGGAGCTTCTTTCGGGAAGTTTCTTCTAGTAACGAACTACTGAACAAAAGCAATCCTGTAAGAAACAAGTGCGTGAAGAGAGAGAACGCTCGTAGATTGCTATCGGACAATAACTTTTTTGATGAACGTAATGATACCTCTCCTTCATAGACCTCCTTATTCTCCTTGATTCGCAAGCCTATGGCTCGTCGAAAGTTCTCCATCAGAACCTCTGTTTTCTTCACTTCCGAAGAATAAACCTCTGACCCTACCATGGGACAGAATGGTACCTGCTTGCAACCAAATTTCTCAGAAACTGAACTCAAAGGGCGCTCCCGTTCACACAGCGTTCAAAGTTCACATATTCACGGGACTCATGCTAATGAAAACACAACAGACTAGCTCTGCAACATAAATTTCTTCATGGCATCGCCTTGCACATTGGGAAGTAGCAAAGAATAGACACATAAATTTCCGCGATGGGAAACAATCTCACCTTGCTGCCTAGCTCCTGAGCAATACCCAGAGCTAATGCTGTCTTTCCGGTGCCGGGCGCACCGGCAAGCAAAAGAGCTCTACCTGCCATCTTCTTCTGCCGAATCATGTCAACGACAAGCCCAGCAGCTTCTCGTGCTGCTTCTTGACCAACAAAACCCGCCCCCATTCCCACAGCTCGTCCATCATCCTGCACAGAAAAAATGCATGCCACATCAAGTAGGCCGCAAACAGAGCAGCATCATCCAAAAATTCATTCACATGAATAAACGGAAAACAGAGAATTATAAAAACGTTTTTCAGTAGAGGAAGCTCATGGTAAATATATGCCCAATGCAAAGGAGCAAACCTTAAGACCGAGGCCCTTGATGTGCGTGTGCGAGGCAACTCTCTGCTTCTTGGTGGTCGACTGGACCTCCTCGATCTTCATTCTTCACCGCGACGCCAATTCTCCCTGGCAGTCTGCGCAACTGCCTCACCGCGGCGGAACTTCGAACCGATCAACTGACCCCTGGGGTCAGGAAAATTTGAAATTGAGAATTGAACGCTGCTTTCGCTTCGAAAAGGTGGCGAATGTTGTCGAAGACGAGCAGAACGCAGACCGGTCGACCGAGGGAGGACGTTGGGCTCGAGGAGGTCGTTTGTCTCCTCCGCGCTCTCTTTCTCGCACAACTCTGGCCGCCAACTCGACCCCGTTAATTCGCCTTTAGGGTGGTCATAACTGCGTCTCTCCGGCCTCACCAAGTTACTTACTGCGCTCAGCTTAACTACTGAGCTTAATAACCGAAACAAATATTGCATGCGTTTTCTCCTCTGGATTCTACACAATAATATATACGAATATATATGCTTTTTCCATATTTAAGGTTACAAAAACCATCTAAACTTCATGTGTGTACTACACCCATATGAATGTACTATTCATTGACTGACTTTATTTATATATATATATATTGAGTTGTATATTTTCTTGACATACTTTACGAGATGATGCATATTATATATTACAAATTGCTATACTTGTAAAGCTAAATGTTGCAACATTGAGATCAAATTTCCCAATAGAAAATTTTAAATGTCTTCATATATATCACTCTTAAATGATATTCTACAAGCATGAAAATTATGCAAAACACATTGAGATTTCTTGCTTTCTTCTTGAATCATGAATGGTATGATATGTAGTTTAAAATCCATATATTATTATTTTTATATTTGTAAATAAATACAAGCAAATTGATGTGAAATGATTGAAAAAAAATTTAAACTATAAAGTTTTTATATTTGTTAATTTGATTTGTTTCATGGGCAGCTTTTTATGCAGGATAATTTGCAACGAGTGAAACATAAATACATATGAATACAAAAGACAAGATGAGGACACACGTGGTTCATCCATCTAGACTACGTCCACAAGCTAGCTAAAAAACGACTTTGAAAAAACAAGCAGGGGATGCAGATTAGTGACTGGGGTATAAATATCTTAGTTCCAACTGACTTCAACTGACACAAAATAGAAGGTTATCCCAAAAATGGAGTTAACAGCAATAATCTCCCCCTTATCTCATGTTGAGAGAATAATAACATCTATAACCTATATGATTATTTCCGCGGTAAGTTTGAGAAAGAAAAACCTAATACACGGCACCTCTTTATAACTAGAGTTAACTAGATGCGGATCTTCACACATCCAACACCTTCAATCCTACAGGGTTGATCATTTCTCATAAGAACTGATACGTCATATCAGTTCTTAAAAAACTGTCTAAATAACATATGTGATAAGAATAAGCACTATCAAGAATCCATATGTTACCAACAACCTTTGATGAATTGCATAAGGCATAGCTCTAACATCATAGTTCACACTGCAACAAATCATACTCTTTAGGATCAATATGTTTTGTCACATTCGCCAACAGAGAGGGATTTGTGCCTTTGATCTTCTTCACCTAACAGTCCTTTTTGACATGGTCACTCTTTCCACATCGCCAATGAACTACCGTCTTTCTCTCAAGTGTCTTACCCCTAGACTTCTCCCTTTGGATACAATGTCCAACACGTTTTTCATCCTTGTCTTTCCTTGAACGTGACCAAGCTTAAATCACGTTCAGTGCTATCTTGGAAGAATTGGATGGATGAGATGATAACATCATCTTCCGTTGAAGATCGTCTGTCAAAAGAGCACTTACAACTTCTTTGTAAATAATAGTCTTCCTATCACAATGGAGAATGACACTTGGTAGCGTCTGATACGATGGCGGTAGCGAGATGAGGAGATGAAGAATTTTCATCTCATCTGAAATCTCCTTGTTAAGATTCTGAAGATATATCACAAGATCATCAAAGGCGTCGATGTGATCATGGATATTCGTCCCACAATCTTTCATCTTGAAGGTCATGAGCTTCAAGTAAGTGTACAAGTTGTTTGACAATTCCATGTGATGGAATTGTTGTTTTAGATTTTCAAACAATACAATTACCTCGTCATACTCTTCCACCTACTTCAAAACCGCAAGTCAAAGATATCCCAAAACGATGTGCACTGTATGTTCTTGCAAATACTTTCACTCAATACCTCTAAGGGTGTCGGGTTTTTTCCTCAACAGCATGCTAAGGCCCATGGCCTTCAACTTCTCCTTTACATGCCTTTTCCAAAGCAGGTAGTTTTTGCGTACATCAAACTTGATGATATCATAATCAAATATTCCGGCATGTCTTGCTACCATCTCCGTCAGACAAAATTTGGAACTTGTGGCAATTTACTCCTTTTCGTTCATTTGTTACCTTCCTTCGGTTACATCAATGGTTTCGTTAGGTCGATAGCTTTCCAAATACCCAATTTGCCTATATTTAAAAGAAAATTCTGTTGAAGTAAATATTTACCGTATGGAATAGTTTTAGATTTGTCCGGAGCTGCCCACTACTTCTCGAATATCTATGCAATAGTAGGCTAAGAATATTCCATCCACCGCTTGTGCGCTAACTCTTGCTCTGCTTCTACTCGATGCTGCTGGCAGTGTGATTTGTGTCAACAAAATAAGCATCTTCATTTCTGTTCAACAAAAACTTGAAGTTGTGGCAATTTTCTCCTTTCAACTCATTTGTTACCTTCTCTAGGTTTCACCAATGCCATAGTTACATCGATAGCTTTTCAACGATTACCAATTTGCCTATATTTAGAGAAATATTTTATTGAAGAAAATATTTATCATGTGAAATATTCTTGAAGAATATTTTTGAATATGCTACTGCTGGGAGCGGCCAACTCCGGACAGTAGCGGGCACAAAATATTCCATCCGCCACTTCCGCACTAACTCTCACTTCGATTTCGCTCGATGCTAATGGCAATCTGATTTGTGTCAAAAAAAACATGCACCTTCTTGCTGCGCCGGTCGCTTGTGCGCTAGCTTGCTTCGCTTCCGCTTGATGATGCTGCTAGTCTATTTTCTGTCAAAAAAATGCGAGTCTGCGTGCTGCCGCTACATTGCCGTCTCCTCGCCAAAAAAATATTTGCAACTCCAATTCTAATTTTCATCAAAAATTTTGATTTCATCCGTGAAGACTAAAATGTTGACGTCTATATCTCTCCATTCCGGCAACAAAGTTCAGCATATGATCGTTTGTTGTCGAGTTCAAGCGATGACAAACAGCACCTGGTCTACATCAACTAGTACTCTCCAAAATTCTCAAGATATTCCATGTTGATGAAACTTCGAATCTACAGGTTTTTGCTTCAAAGCTGCTCCGGCAATTCCAATTTCACCAAATAGCAGAGTGTTTCACAAAGATAAAATTTGAGACATTGGGCAAGAAATTTTGAGTAAAACACTCTCAGAAGGGAGACAGGAAGTAAAAGTCAATTTCGGATAGATCACTGCCACACTTTTGAGAGTTGAATTCCGAATTCCAACTGCATTTTATTAAGGACTTACATAACTTCGTCCCGCGTTCACCAAACCTTCTGCACCACCAAATTCTAAAAAAGAGAAACTTGTTTTGTTTTCATCCGAACTATAGTTTCAAAGAACTTCATCTGGGATCAACTCGAGCTCTGATATCACTTTATGCAGAACAATTTGCAACCAATGGCAAATGAAACATAAACACAGATGACTACACAAGACAAGACGAGTACACACACAAGTACGTGGTTAACCCTTCTGGGCTACATACACGGATCAAAACGACTTTGATAAATTACGCAGCTAAACGACTTTGATAAATTATGCAGCGGGGGTACAGACTTATGAGTGAGGGTGTAAGTACCACGGTCTCAACCGACAGAAAATAGACAATTATTCCAAAAATGGAGTTGATAGCAACAATTTTTCTATTCAAACGATATAATTAGAGCAAGCGTTATCTTTCAAAAAGCGAATCAACACATGGAATAACCATCATATAGGTCTTAGAACCGACTACAATGCAAGCATTTGAAATTGAAAACTCATCGTTTCGGGGTGCCCTCTCTAAACTGTGACAGCAATTGTTAGATAATGAGGTGTCATTGACACAATGAGAACAGATGCTTTAATCAAAATGCGAGCTACAATATATACATGAGTGTGGGGCGTAGCACACTTCCTCGTTTGCTAATTAGAGTGTCAACTGTTGATAACGTTAGCTTAACCTTTGCCAATCAGATTCTCAGCTTTCAGCCAACACATCTCCAATCTTACCCACCAGCTTACCGTGAAGCTCTCAGCGGCTAGATAGTAGCCATGTCAGCATTATGGACCTGAGTTACTCAAAGTGACATCTGGACAGCCTCCAAATTGCCAACACCCCTCCTTGCTCGGATACACAGGTATTTGAGTGAAAAACTTTTTGGCTATTGCAACACCCGAATAACAGTGGATAGGCAACGGTTTGGCTTCGCTTTTTTGGCAGCTTCAACGGGGAATTGACCTCAAAGTCGACACAAAACCTTGGAAGCTGAGTCGAATGTTGATAATTTAACGACTACGTTCTTGATTGTTGCTGCTCTCTTGAAGCTGAGTCGAATGTTGATAATTTAACGACTACGTTCTTGATTGTTGCTGCTCTCTTGAAGCTGAGTCGAATGTTGATAATTTAACGACTCCGTTCTTGATTGTTGAAGCTCTCTTGAAGCTGAGTCGAGTGCTGATTCTTCAACGATTCTACCGTCAATTGATGATGCTTCTTTGGCCGGTTATGTTTTGTTCACCTCTTGTGAACTTGTTGCTGAAACTCCATAGCTTGAACTTGTCGTGGAGGAGCTTCATAGGGGATTACTTTAGAATGAAAAGTTTTAAAGCTAGATACATAGGGATACAATGATTTTGTGCTACATCACCAGACTATTTGGTTGACTCCAAATCAGCTGTTGCTCTATGAGCTAGCTCATTTTAGGGTTTTAGTTTCTGAAAGCATGGAAAGATTTGAGAGAAAGGTTTGATGTACTAGAACTAGATCTAAGTCTCTGCCTATCTATGTATCACTCCAAGATTGCTCTCCTAGTTAGAATGATTGCACTGATTACTACGAGCTATAGCTCTTATGCAATACATTTCTTTCATCAACTTTCTCTACCTCTATTCTACTAAACTTAATTGCTTTCGAATTTTCTCAAAGCTAGTTCTTCCTAGAGGTTTTGTTAAGATGTCGGCAAGCTGATAAGTGGTACTCACATATCCTAAATTGATTACATTAAACTGTAACTTCTCATGAATGAAGTGGTGGCGTACCTCAATGTGTTTGGTGCGCCCGTGATATATTGGATTGTGGGAGAGATTCAAACTTCCATGATTGTCACCATGGATTGTTGTTGCTTGTAGCAAATCATGTACTTGAATTTCTCCTAGTAGCCTTCTCAACCAGATAGCTTCCTTGGCGCCTTCAAACAGCGCCATGTATTCGGATTCTGTCAAAGAAAGTGCAACAGTAGGTTGCTTGCAGCTATTCCAAGTTATGGGTGTGCTTCCTTACAAGAAGATGAACCCGGTGGTGGACTTCTTGTTGTAAGAATCAGCCGCCCAATCGGCATCAGTAAAATCGGTAAGCTTGATTGTTTTTCCCCTTCGGTACAGCAAGGCCAATCCAGCAGTGCCCTTTAGGTACTAGAACAAATGCTTAACAACCTGGAGGTGTGGCTCATGTGGCTTTGACATAAATCGACTAACAACACTTACAGCATAACATATGTCTAGACGCGTGTGAGACAAAAATATGAGTTTTCCCTTCATGCGCTGGTAGCGAGTGATGTCAGTGGCGAGGGCTTGCATATCTGGAGCCAACTTGAGCTTCTCAACCATGGAAGTTGAGACAGATTTGCAGTCTTGGAGTCCAAACTCATGAAGAATATCCTTAATGTATTGTCTATGTGTGACTAGAATGTCCTCCGGTTTGAATAGAAATTCAAATCCTAGACTCTAAGATAGCAATCCCAAGTCCGACATCTCAAATTCTTCTTGAATTTCTGCCCGTATGGAGGAAATGCGTTTAGTGTTGTTGCCAGTAAGATACACGTCATCGACATAAAGTATAAGTAGTGTGATCTTCCAGTAAGATACACGTCATCGACATAAAGTATAAGTAGTGTGATCTTGCCGTGCTCCTCATGGAAATACAGATTATAGTCTGCCTTGGACTTGTGCAGGCCTTGTGATAGCAGGTAGCTGTCCACTTTATTATACCAGGCATGCGGAGCTTGTTTGAATCTACACAGTGCTTTTCTCAGCTTGCATGCATGAGTCGGTGATGAGCTGGTGAAACCTGCTTGAGGAGACACATATATGTCCTCTGTGATGACGCCGTTGAGAAAAGATGTTTTTACATCAAGATGGTAGATTGACCAGTCTTGATGTCATGCTAATGCCACCACGCTACGAAGGGTATTCCATTTGACGACAAGAGCAAAAGTCTCGTTGTAAACCTGACCGGCTTGTTGTTGAAAACCTCGTGCTACAAGGCGAGCTTTGAGCTTTGCTGTGATGCCATTTGCATTTGTGTTCACTCTGAAGACCCACTTTGTGGTAATAACTTTTCAATCAAGAGGTAGTGGAAACAAGCTCGAGGTATCATTTTTGTAAATAGATTCTAACTCTGCTTCCATTGCTGTGTCCATCCGGAATGGAGTAAAGCTGCTTCTACAGAGGGAGGAAGGCAAGTGAGCTCTGGAGACTCCAATATGTTGAGATGAAAATCACTTAACCGAGTAGATGGACGAGGAGCGCGTCCGCTACGAGTTGTGACGACAAATGGATCTGATGAAGGAACATCAATGCTGCTGCTACTTGGTGGAGGCTCGCGTCGTCGATAAACGTAGAGCGGGAGCTGGGTCTTAGACGAGGTGTTGGGTTGAAGTGGAATATCTACCATGAGATCTCTGATAGGAGAGTTTGAAGGAGCATCATCAAAAATTGAAGCGTTGAGCGGACTCCTTGGTGGTGAGAGTACAGGAGCCGAGCAGTTGGCAGGTGAGCTAGTGAAAGCAACAATGCTGGTTCCTTGAAGAGAGAGTATCGAAGAAGGGTCTGAGTGGTCCGAAGTAGGAACACGAGTGCTTGAACGTTCGAAAGAAGACTCCGGGTCTACTGGAAAATTTGATATTTGACTGGTGTTGTTGCTGGAGGATGACTCAAGTGGCAAAAGAGCCTGCCAGTGGATATTAGCAGATGGTTGCGAGGATGAGGCAACACTAGCTTGTACGCATGTAAAGATAAGTTCATCAAACCTAACATCTTTTGAAACAAAGATTTTGCGTGATGGTCGATGATAGTTTCTGAAACCTCCAGATACATCATCATATCCAATGAAAATACATTCAGTAGATCGGGGTGCCCATTTTTTGCGTTTTTTAGAGTTGTTTAGTACGAAGCTCCTGCATCCAAACACACGAAGATGGTCGACAATTGGTACCTTGCCTGTGAGGCGCTCAAAGGGAGTGACTCCATTGTTGGCCTTTGTGGAAGTTCTCTTTATCACGTAATTGGCAGTAGCCACGGCTTCTGTCTAAAGGTGATAAGGAATTCCACTTGCAAACGCCATACACCTAGCTTTGTCAAGCAAGGTTTGGTTTTTTCGCTCCGTCACGCCGTTCTGATGCGGTGTGTAGGTCTGAGTGAGCTGTCTGATAATGCCAGATTCATCACAGAATCTTATGAAATCTTGTGAAATGAACTCTCCTTCATTGTCTGATCGTATAGCCTTGATGCGGTGAGAGGTTTGCAACTCAATCATAGACTTGAATTGCTTGAACTTTACTAATGTTTCAGACTTCCTTTTAAGTAAATAAAGCCATGAAAATCTACTAAAGTCGTCAGTAATTGTAAGTATATACCTAGAGCCTGATAAAGATTTCAAACTGAGTGGTCCGCATATATCAGTATGAAGGAGCTCCATAGGTTGTTGAGCATGTGTGGCAACTTTGCGAACTAATCTAGCAGGTCGTGGAGGCAGTATTCTAGGATTGGGAGAGCGTGATTGCTTCCCTCTCCAACATGATGAGCAAAACAAAGTTGACTTTGATAGAGACGGTAAGCCATGGACCTTTCCTTCTTCCTTCATAAAAAAAAGTACCTTGTGGCTGGCGTGGGCAAACCTGTTGTGCCATAGTAGTGTAACATGTTCTTTAACTCAATGCTGTTGACTGATTGATTTGGAGGTCAAAATTTATAAAGATTGTTCTTCTGGTCGCGTTTCCCTTTGGTGATGACTTGGTGTGCTGCTGGCAATGGAAAGTCTCGAAGTATCCAACAATGCGTTGAATCAAATAGAATCTTGGGGCGCTCCTCTTCGTCCGCAATCGACCCGACTGACAACAAGTTCTTCCTTATACCAAATACATATAGAACATTGTCAATTTGTATTCCTCCAGAGGGTATGGAAACTTCCACAGATCTCTTTCCTGCAACATTCAGTGTGTGACCTCCTGCAGTGCTGATCTTTGATCGGCAGTTCGAATCCAAGTCACTTAGTAGACTTTTTTGTCTAGTAACATGTTTAGACGCTCCACTATCAATAAACCACTCATTGCTACTGCTCTCTGCTAGGTTTAGTTCTAACATGTTGACTGCTAGATCAGTCTCACTTTCCACGAATTCTTCTTCCTCGCTGGTACTGTCAAAATTATCAACAATGTTGATGGAGGTCGACTTCTCCAGTCGTTTAGCCTTGCGTGCCTTCAGGTCAGCCGCCAAAGTAGGACGGTTTCTCATCTAGTATTCCATAGAACCACAGTAGTGGCATTCGCTTGCCGTATTCTTCTTGTGCTTGTGTCGAGCATCGCTGGTTGCTAAGCTTGACCAGCGTCCTCCAAAACTCTTCTTGCTGTTCGTCAACAACGCTTCTTGATCGCTACGCTTGCCACCCTTGATCTTTCTACGTATGTCATCTTGTAACAGAATGACGGTGAGCTCAGCAACTGTGGGCAGCGTGGTTCTGTACATGACAGAACTCATCAGTCCTTCATAACTTTTTAGCAAGGCCATCAAGATTTGTTCAACGATCTCAAAATCATTGATGATCTCTCCGATACATGCAAACTCATTAACGAGTTCTTTGACTTGCTTCAGGAATTCGGGAATGGCAGCTCCTTCGTCCATCCTCAGGTTGGAAAGTTTTTGCCGAAGTAGAAGCTTTCTGGAGTTGGATCTGCTGGCGTATAAGTCCTTCAAAACTTTCCAACATTCGTCAGGCTCTGTAATGTTAGCAATGTACGGAATCACATTATCCTTTACAGACAATGCTATCAGTGTTAGAGCTCTATACTTTAATACTTGCAAAGCATCTATATCAACTTGAGCAGTAGGTGCTACTGTCCCAGCGGGAGGGTCAACTACTCTCAAGATGTCATCTCTATTGAGTATGTTACGTAGCTTAAAACTCCAAACTGCGTAGTTTGGAATTCCCTCTAACTTGCTAGCTTCTCCGATGAGTGCGTCTCTAGATGTCATTGGTAACAAGTGCTACTCGTGATCTGCTGCAGTTGTCAAGTGAGTGACTCGGTTCCTGCTAGGGTGTCAAACAATGTGAGACCTCGTTGAGCACGGACTAACAATCACTTAGGTAACCTCGCTCTAATACCAAGTTAGAGTTTAGGGTTTAGGGTTAGGGTTTAGAGCAAGCGTTATCTTTCAAAAAGCGAATTAACACATGGAATAACCATCATATAGGTCTTAGAACCGACTACAATGCAAGCATCTGAAATTGAAAACTCATCGTTTCGGGGTGCCCTCTCAAAACCGTGACAGCAATTGTTAGATAACGAGGTGTCATTGACACAATGAGAACATATGCTTTAATCAAAATGCGAGCCACAATATATACATGAGTGTGGGGCGTAGCCCACTTCCTCGTTTGCTAATTAGAGTGTCAACTGTTGTTAAAGCTAGCTTAACCTTTGCCAATCAGATTTTCAGCTTTCAGCCAACACATCCTCAATCTTACCCACCAGCTTACCGTGAAGCTCTCAGCTGCTAGATAGTGGCCATGTCAGCATTGTGGACGTTAGTCACTCAAAGTGACACCTAGACAACCTCCAAACTGCCAATAGCAATGAAATTCAAGCCTTTTCAGGTTTATCGACAATTGAAACCCCTTGTGTTAAGGGGTTTCAATTGTTGGCTAAAGCCAATTTCTACTTTCCCTTTGGTGCAAATTGTGTGTCAATGTAGTGTAAGTGCTGTGATTTCTCTTGAGCTCATTATCGAGGCCAAACTAAATTGCTTGTAGACCTAGTTTGTTGCATCTCCACTCAGTTTGCTTGTTATTGATCAAGAAAATCATCAACTGGTTGATGGCGACTCAACGTCATGTGGTGGGACAACATCCAAATATTTATATCCGAGTATTGTATTTACAAATCGTGTTGACAAACCATGGTTTCAATATTGGGTAGATATTCTAACCAAAGAGAGTATAGTTTATAGAAACAAGGAGTGATATTCATGGCCGAATCAACTCCTTCTATTTGCCTTGAGGAATGAACTTCTCTTGATTCATAAAAAATTCAATAGGAGGCATGGAGAAGATATTGATGAAACCAACCACGGAAATGCAAAGCCGGGCCCAAAAAAATCCAATGTACACCCAAAGAGTATCCAGAAGCAAAAGACTGCATTGGATACCCATATCCAAAACCCGAACCGAACCCGCTCGAACCGATGGGTATGGGTCGGGTTTGGACCAAACTAGAAAGGTCCGGTTCGGTTTCGGGTTGGACTTTTCTTAATATGGTTTAGAAATAGGGTTACGTTTAAAAATGGAAATTAGGGTTACTCAGTACAAAGGTTGTGGAGTATTTTTTGACTTGACACATTGCTAATCGCACTTGTCCTCCTCGTCCGTTACTCTCGAGGTTTGTCATAGGTGACAATGACAATTGAGATGAGTTCCAAAGATATGCTCACGTTGATGACAAAAATCACCGCAGATTTGCAAAATGAAGACGGTCTCTACTATAGAGTGAAAAACCGTAAAGCTAGGGCAGGTGTCTAGACATCGTTTTTGTTTGTTGCGATCAAGGAGACTGGCGAACATCTATGTTATAGTGATAATTCTTTTGTCTGCTGCAACAAATGTCTAACTGTATATCAATATAGATCAACCAACAGAACCACTGCCATGTCCAAACACTCATGTCCGCCTGCAGAGACCAATCAAGTCATGACAACGATGCGACTACAAGTGAGATGCGACTACAAGTGAGAAGAAACTCATCACCGTGGCGTTGGCGGACATGCGCGCTGTTGACATGCGTCCATTTTATATTGTGAAGGGCACAGGATTCAAGAACTATACACAGACCGTCCTCAACATTGGGGTCAACTCTAAGGTGGGCATGCTTGTGGACAATATTCTTCCTGATCCAACCACAATCAGCAAAAATGTGCGGATGCGATCTAATGCTGGACGGGAGATACTGATAGCCGCATTGAAGTCACATCTAGCGGAAGGAATTTGGATTGGCGACACAACCGATATTTGGACCGATGACATCAACAAGGTATCTTTCCTATCAGTCACTGTGCATTTTATCAATGACGAGTTCACTCGACATCACCGCACGCTTGCATGCAGTCTGTTTCCTGGGCCGCACCACGGATCTGAAGTCTTGGAAAAATATGAGGGTGTTTTACAGAAATTTGGCATCAGTAGATATGACTAGGTTATAGTTGTCAGAGACCGAGGCTCAAATATGCACTCTACAGATGGCATTCCTAGTCTCTATGGTTGGATACCGTGTTGTGATCACATCATTAGTACCATCCTAACAACGATTATCGACAAGAGAATTCGAATGGTTGAAGGTAAAAAATCTGCTCCCTTATATGAGTTATATCATCTAGCCCTTGAGTTGTTTGAAACTATTGATCAGGTCAAAGCTCTCGTGACATATGTCAAACAAGCGAATCTTCAGGATGAGATTGCAAAGACCCTCAAGCTGGAAAATGCGACACGATGGAATCCTGCCCTCCGTTGCATGATCAACGTCGACGAGGGACTCCCGGAGTTGACTGAGACATTACGTGCACGAGGTCGCGGATTGGTTTCTAAGGTCAGCAAGATTGATCATGAGCTTCTCAAGGAGTTCATTGCTTTTTTAGTGCACTTTCAGGAGACCTTTCTAGCTCTGGAGATGTTTGCAGAGCCTACGATACACCGTGTACTTGACCGTGTACACTAGCAGAATCTGCTAATGCATTGCTAGGTTGTTGCGGCGGATATCACCACCAAGGAGAAAGATGGCACAATAACCACACTGAAGAAGGACTCTCCTGCAGTCATCGCCTTGAAGCCAAAATTTGCGAAACTGATCAGGGAGAAGTTTATTTGGAGCGACATTCATGTCATTGCCGCCCTACTCAATCATAAAACCAAGTGTCGTCTGGATAAGTTTGGCATCGACTCTGCCGATATTGAACTTGGCCAAAAAAATCTAGGAAATATGATGAAAGATCATATGATTGGCTTTGGCATCGGCAAGAGAAGTGTGCGATCTCATAGGAAACAGAAAGAGGACAATTGACGTGTTGCGCATTGTCTTGCCGAGTTTAGTTCTGAGAGCGACAACACCATCGAAGAAAAGACTCTTGCCGATGACGTGCAGCTTGATTTTTCTTTGAGAACAGAACTCAACAACTATATTTGTCACAGGTGTAGTGACGATGAAAGCACACTTCTATCTAAATATGGAGTTTTATTTTGGTGGAAGATCCATCAAAACGAATTCCTTGTACTTTCTCGACTAGTTCGCTCTATGTTAGCCATTCCAGCTTCTAGCGCAAAATCTGAGAGTAACTTCTCGGACGCAGGGAATACCATGAGCAAAAAACGCAACTTGTTGCATCCTTTCAAGCTCGACGATCTCATGTTTCTACGCTCAATGCTAATGTAGTCTACTGTCCAGATTAAAGTTCCACCTATCACCGAAAGCTAAATAGAGAACTGCTGGATTTTTCACATGTGTTCATGTTTCGGTTCCACAAAAAACTGAAAGCTAAATAAAAAACGTATGTTTTTTTCCCATCATGTTTCGGTTCCACCGAAAACTTAAAGCTAAACAAAAAAAGTACGTTTTTTTCCCATCTGTGCATGTTTCTGTTCCACCAAAAACTTAAAGCTAAATTAAAAAAAGTATGTTTTTTTCCCATCTATTCGGGTCCAGTCGGGTATCAATTCAGAGGCGACTTCGGTTCGTTTTGGGTTTCGGTTTTGTCTCTTTGGATATGGGTCGGGTATGGGTACCACAAGCGCAGAATACGTGGGCATGGATCGGGTTCGGGTATGCTTTTGAAGTGTGATGCAGTACTCGGCACAGAAGTTATCACTATCTTCAGCTTAGCACACAAATGGGTTCGAGTATGCTTTGAGGTGTGATGCAGTACTCGGCACAGAAGTTATCACTATCTTCAGCTGAGCACACGAATGGGATGCAAAATTGTCCACCATACCGAACACAAAGCAAAAGACCACCGAAGTTGAGATGCTTAGTCTGGTTGTGCAGTAAGTCTAAATGTGGGAATGTGGCAGGGCGGCCACATTCGAAATCAAGTTTTTAATAATGCATCCCATGATCAAGTTTGATGATTATTCTTTTCTTTTCATTTTCTCCTTTTTGATTTCAAATTCTTTAATCTTTACCATTTCAAAATCAAATGTGTCAAATTTTCCAGAAGTGTGATTACTATTTCCGACCACGACTTAATTGTTTATACTCTTTACTAACCTATCTAGGAGATCCATTTTAGATCAATTCCAAATTGAATTGTTTCTGGATTTTAAAATTGGAGCAAAGAATCCCAAATAAGTTTAAAAATAAAGTAGTTCGTGGAAAATTGTACTCTCCTTCCCTCCTACAAGTTTTTATACATAATTTTTGACCTCTTATTTTTGTCTCAATTCCATATTTTCAATCTAACGATGTTTCAATAAATAAGATCAAAATTCCAATCCAAGTGATTATTTTTCCCCATACCACCTCCATCATCTACGACATGTCCCAACACAAGATATATCGAAAACAAGTCCAACATTACAACTTATATCCATTCAAAACTTTCTAACTCCACAGTTTCTACATCCATTCTAACAACTCGTCGTTTCAGAGATGACCTTCTTTTATGGAACATGTGCTGCATGATCTTCTGTGCTTTGCCAACATTTGTGATTCTAAAAGTTGCAACCTCCGATCGGGGACACACTCTAAGTCGGCCTCGGGGTTACCAGCCAACTCAACTGGTTTCATGGTCAGACTCTTTTGAGGAATGCATTTAGACAGTCGGAGTTCATAAATATATTTTGCTCCGTATCTCGACTCTGCTGTAAGTCTCCAAAGACATTATCTACAGATAGTGCGCAGCGTCCATAAGAAGACTCGGAAGAAGTGTGTGAGATTGTCATTCTCACAAGATTCTCGACCGTGATTTTGAGGGTTGAGTCTAGGGTTGGAGGTACACCAAAATTTTTCGAGGCATGCCCATGTTCTCTTTCAAGGTCAAAAGTCATGCCCCCAAGCATGCCCATATTACAATATGTATATTTG